GAGGAGAATTTCTCTGCTAAGGCTTCATCTTTTGAACTCTTGGGAAGCAATTTAAGCTAACAACACCTTGGGATAAGCTTTCTATCCACTCTCCCTCCTCTCTATGTGAAAAATTATATGAGTTTGGATGTTGTTAGGTGTTGATTTTAGTTCCCCTTTGGTTTATATCAAACCAACTAGCTTAGTAGGGCCTTGAAAGGTTAAATCAAATTTCTAAAACTTGGTTTGAGAATTTTATAGTTATTTGAGATTTTTGGTTAGGGTTTAGATAAACCCCAATTAAAAATTTAAAAGATTGGGAGCAATGTGGGTGAAGGTTTGATGTCATTTATGTGTTTGGGTGTCAAATGTGATTAATAGAGTGTGTTGGAAGTGCTAATTATATTAAAGAGGAGATTTGAGCATAGTGGGTACTCAAAGTTAGGGTAAAAAGAGGGTTTAATTATAGTTATAATTATTGATTAATGATTAAATATTAATCGAGACCCATTGAGCTAGTAGACCTTGTGGAGTAACCAAATTGCCACAGTAACCCTTTTTATGACAAAAGGGTTGAGGTAACTGGATAATCTAATCCTTTTACTTGTGTATTTGAATGCTTATGAGGTTTGCAAAAGTGAATATGTATATCTATATTTTATTATGAAAATCATAATTTATATTTGAATGGTTGATATTTTAGAAATCTGTGTGATGTGGTACTGAATTAAAGATTTTCCTATGCTTAAAACCCATTTTTATGTTTATTTGTGAATGGTCATGAAATCGAATTCAATGTGAAATATTAGTATTTGATATATGAATATGTATGATAAGTGATATGCATATTGTTGAAATGTTATGAGCATATCATTATGAGAGCGTGGGAATTCAACTTAGAGTTATCAGGGGATATTTGTATGAAATCAATATGGTATACTTGCCTTATGTAGGCCATGATGTATAGTCTATTTCTTGTTTAAAAGTCCCAATATTTATTTAAGATAGATTGGGCATACAACACCCTGAATATTCAAGGAAAGGGGAAAATTGTGATCCATAATGGGTGAAGGTGCCTTTGGCCGAGGCTGCCTCTCATGATTGATGAGCTTAAGCCAATCCAATTACATGGACTTAAGTCCTATTGTGTTGTTAGCTCATGGATTCAGTTGGAGAAAATAGGGAGAATATAAGGTGGAGTATATGGATCATGCATTATATGAGTTGTAATATGACAAGCGTGCTATTAATAGGGGTAAAGGGAAGAAGATTCTACTGGGGCTTGAAGAGCTTTAGTTTGTATAGCTCTTCCCTCTCTTTTGGTATTTTGTAACGAATGAATTGTATTAAATATGCCAATTTAGGATCATATATTGTTTTGGAGTCACTTGTATGAGAAGTACATTATTTGTGGGTATTTCAACCTAAGAGAATGTAACTGCAATGAAATTGTTGTACGGAGTCAAGATACAAATGCAAGTGGTGTTTTGGTAGTGTTCACATATTTGAATGGCCAAGGAATTGTTATATGTGGTATATTGCCACCCCTTGAATTATTGTAAAATCGGGGTTTTAATAGCCAAATTATGTTTGGATTGTATATGATGTTATATGACTATTCAATTAGGCACAACATGGCCCAATTTAATTTTTTAAGTAGTTCTAGGGCTATTGGTATTTGGTTGGTGGGTTTGGACACCCCTGAGTTTGTTTTGAAGGGAAAAAAGATAATTTTGTGCCAGGGTGTCCAATTTTTAAATGATAAAGTATTTGGTTGTGAGACTAGTGTCAATAACTAAGTGGCTTAAAGAGTTATGTGTAGACATTTGAACTGTTCAAATCGAACGTTGGATGGCAAAATGGCATGCTCCGAAAGTTGGTCTCAGTTTGCCATTATGACAATAAGGGTGACCACAGCACATCACACGGTGAGAGATTGATCTCTCTGTGCCATCCATTGCGGTCAATGACACACGTATTGCGACAAACGATGCAATTTAAAATGTGTCCAAATTGCCCTCTTTTGTTTAGTATATGTATTAATATAAGTTTCCATGCTTACATTACTTCTTACTTGATTTAAACTATTGTTTGAGTTTAAATGTCATGTCAAAGGGTTTCTTAAAATCCCAAACTTTAAACTTAATTTCAAACCATTGTGTTATGATAACCTAATATAAGAAATCAATTAATCTTGATTATTATAATGGAGTTGTGTATTGTATTCTGGTAATGTCAAGGCAAATATTGCGTAAAGTATATTGATGAATGATGACATGGCATGTATAAGTTAATTGAGAACAAATTAATTCTCAAATTAGTTTAGCTTTTATCAATATAATCCCTTATATCATGTTTTGTTCTCTTGTTTTTCAAAATTTTAGAGTTTCTTTTTTCTTACCCAAATTATATTTGTTTCATTAATATATGGTTGCCATCAATATTCTACCATCTATGTCAATAAATTTTAACAGTATAACCTTTTTGTTTAAAAAAATAAGGATTAAATTAATAATCAAAATAAATTTAATGACTAAATTGATAAAAATTAAACTCAAAGTATAACCCCTTACCCTTAATGAAACTTAATCAAATATACTATGGTAATAAAAAAAATTTAAACTAATTAAAATAATCACCATTGTATAAAAATTTAAAAGCAATATTTTAGACTATTTAAAACAACTTATTTTTAGCTTGTTTTTTATATGACTTGACTTGATTTTTTTTTTTTTTGGGTTTTCCAAAATATGTTCATCCTCCCTCGACTGTTGTAAAACTAATCTCTTAAATTTGAGTATTATTCAGTGAGTTATCTTCTCTTAAATAACACTCCATACACACTTCCAAGTATCAAACACTGTAATGATATTTAAAGGATCTAGACTGACTAAATGAGATTAAGGGTGACTTTAGAATTACATCAAATTTTGGCAAAAGTAACCCAAAGGTAATTTCTGTCAAAACAGGTTTTGGTCTCTATCATTATCAGTATGATTCCGTACACATAGCCTGATATGATGAGATAGAATCAGTGTCCTCTTGTCTTTCATATCAGGTTCTTGTTAACCCTAGATGGAAATTTGTAAGCTTTCATCATTTGATAAAATGGCTTAACGATGGTTCTCTATTTCTATCAAGCTTATATGGATGGATTTTGCATCAAGACTTGTTAATCTCTCTAACTAGGAACGAAAAAGCACCACATACCTAGTTCATTTATAATTCCAGAGGTAGAATAAAGAGTCGCTTTAATAGAGAATTTTATTATTGAAAATGCTGCTTTGAAATGGTCATCGAGCTTGAGCATTTTCTCTTGCCAACATCAGTCTTTAAGCTTCAAAGTTTTAGTGAACCTTTTTCGGTCAAAAAACATTAGCTATCTATTATATTCCAAACCAATAAAGTCATGTTGAATTGGCTAAAGTATCAACAATCTTGTTGAATTATTTAGCTAAAAATTAAAAAAACACTAATTAAATTGGTTTCTCTAATTATATAATTAATTCAAATCAATCAATATTTTGAGAATCCAAATTGCACTCCCTTTTCGTGTTAACAGCTAGAGAGGGAATTCACCTTTATTTATATATCTCGTCTCCTGATATCTTTTGGAGAGATAATAACCAAAAAATATTCAAATATTACAGAAAAAATGTAGCGTTTGATCCCAACCTTTTCCTTACTTATCAATTTAGTTTCTAAAGCTTGACTTCAAACAACTCAATTACAATAATTTCATACTTTAATAAATTACAAGAATTAAGTTGTTCTAAATTAAAGTTTAAAACTAAATCAATAATTGAAAAAAAAATCAAAACTAAAAATTATATGAAAAAATTGGTGAAAAGGACGTTGTTAGAAGAAAAATTAATCCCAAAGACTAAATGCAATTGAAAGACTAAGGCTAATATTTTATTCATTAAACCATTTAATCAAATGACCAAATACCCCTCTCTTTAAACCAATGAAATTGCCAAAAAAAAAAAAACACAAAGGTTTTTGTTCAACATATGTACTCCAAACTAAAAACCTTACACTTCAAGCTAATAGCTTTGCACTACAAGTGAGAAGCCTTGTACCACAACTAAAAGCCTTACACCCCTAAATTACTTAGGTGCAAGGCTTTTAGCTCGAGATGTAGGGCTTCTAACACCATTTGATGCAAGACTTTTGACTCAAGGTATAAAACTATTGACTTGAATACAAGGCTTTTTGCTTGAGATACAAAGCTATTAATTGGAGTGCAAGACTTCTGACTTGAAGTGTAAAACTTCCGACTTAGGATGCATGTGTGTAAACAAACAACCTTTGTTTTTTTTTCTTTTTTCAATTTCATTGGTTTAAAGAGAAAAAAATTTTAATCATTTGTTCAAATTGTTTAATAAATAAAATATTAGCCTTGATCTTTCAACTGTATTTAATCCTTGGAACTAATTTCCCTTCTAATAAGGTCCTTTTTACCCATTTTCCCAAATTATATTTTTCTAATATTGTATTATATGTTAAAGCAAAACAAATAGAAGTAAATATCATCCAATAAAATGCATGAACATAGATTAAAAGAATAAAGTATAGTTTCACCGTGTCACACCATTTATAGCTTCCAAACAATACAGCTCGGTATAGATTTGATATAGATATGATAGTACAAGTCAAATGTAGACTGTTTATATTTTTAAAATAAAAAAGTATTAAAATATGAACCATCTAGGTGTTTTCCAAACATGGATCAAAGGGATCCACGTGGTGTCCATACAATCGAGCGATTTGACAATGCTCTCATAATCTGTAGCCGAGGCTACGAAACCAATTCCAAATTTGGGGGTTGGGGGACACACAAACACAGTTAAATGCAAACAAGACGTATACGGATAAGAAAATAAAACGCCTAAGCAAGAAGGGGTTATAGCTACAGATTCGTAGAAAATGCCTTCAAGAGAACTACTCTTAATTGGGTTTGATAATGTTTGAATTTGACTTAATCAGATAATCATATAAAAACGAGAGAGAATAAAAAGTTGCAGTAAATAACCCACCATTTTCCAAATTTAAATGGCTAATAATGCCTGGAATTAGCCTAAAAGTATAACACAATACAACAAGATTCAAGACAAAGTACTACTTATTCAATGAGCCATCACACAAGCAAATACTCGGAGATAGATAATACAAAAAGGTTGTAATCGCTCACAGTAGGAGATGACTTTAAGATCGTCCTTGAGATTTCTTTTCCCACCATTCCATGAACTTAACTTGTGCAGTAGCGGTATCCAACCTGTAAAGTTGAAGTGTGTGATTTGCAATTTCATGGCCAAATGTCCATCCAAACACGCCCCCAGCAAGAAAAGACAGTCCTGCACCTGTTGGTTATGGTAGAAGAAAGATCAGTAAAAGTGTCAGCATTTGTGAATGCAAGTATGACACCCAACTGATTGAAATCTAATTAGAAAGTTTCCTCTTATTTCATTCCATATTATATAGTTTAGAGTTTAAAATTTCAACTGCCAAAATGAACGGTGTAAAAAAAAAAAAAAAAAACGGGGGAATAGAGAGTTAAAGACCCTTGACCACTTGTACTCCCTAAAGCTACAATGTTATTTTTTTTCAATATTATAAGGATATTTCAAATATGTTGATACTTTTTGATTAAAATACTAGAAGATCAAGTTATAAATTTAGTAAGCTCAAGTAGTAATTTAAGAGACTACTAATAGTACCTTATTTCTGTGGTCCTCGAGAGGTCCTTATAACATCGGAAAGATAAAGTAGTACCTCCAATCAGCTTAAGTAATAGCTTATTTCAAAAGTCCTAGTGAGAAATTTTCCATTTTATGGTTCTTAACAAATATTTATAGAAGTCATCAAGGGTTCTCAACTGTCATTTTCCCTACAAAAAATTGCTATAATCTAAAGGCTAAATGTTACAAAAAGGTGTTAAGTAGAAAAGCAGTATGGTACCATGCAAGCTCCTGGAATATTTGTAAGCAACACCTGCAGTAGATACTGCTCCAACAATACTTCCTGTGAGGCCATATGTTGCCGCTACTCTTGTAGTTTTCAGCTAAAATGATGGGGGGAAAAACAGAAAGAAAAAAAGGTTTAAACTCAATTTTCTTCATGAACAAGAAATTGAACAAATTGTCCAGCAGGCAATTGTCCTTAACCAGCGAAATATATTCAACAAATGCTGCATAGAACAATATCATTGATAATTAAATTCCATAGCCACATATTGAAAAGAGATTTTTAAAAACCAAAACAAGATGACCAATTGCAAGTGTTCCATTCCATTTGTAAGCGTGAGTTGAAATCTTTTAACCTAAACTATGAAAATGATCCAAATTCAGACATGACACAAGAACTTAACAACCATTCTAAGAATGCTGCTTAATCTGTCTATACCAAACAGCTAAAGTCATATTATCATTAATCGTGCATCATTCTGCACATCAAGTTATGGATTAGTGACTTCAAATTCTTAACAAGTCAGGAGCTTAACTTCTAGGACCAATATATATTAAAGAGGATGAGGCTTACTATCAATAAAATGCTACATATCATAATAATAAGGAGATGAACCTTTAGCCTCTTAGTTGTAAGCAATTTCAATTAAGGAATAGTGTCAAAATTCCAAAGTATTGCATATAGCTGATGGTCATAACTCATAACGTGTAGGTGTATCTTAAAACAATTAATTTATTCAACTAATTGAATTGTTGGTTTATACTCAATGTTTTTAAACACCTAGATGGAAATTCTTGCATTTGATCATTCACCTTCACCCACAGGTGAATGGCAGAGCTAACCCTACAAAATAGAAACCACTGTTTTTTTCCACATCCAGATAAGAGAATATTGGCTCTTGGCTCTTCATGTGTTTGTCCAATTAAACATTTCAGACAATTTCTTAACCCATTCTCCTTTTGAAGACTAATTGATTGTATATAAACTAATTTATTATGTCAAAGCTCTGCCGAAGGTTAAGATGTTTTGACAGAAACTGAACAGGATTAATATTAATCATGTCTAAGAAGCCCTCTTTCTCACTATTTCTTTCATTTCTTTAAATGTAAAAAAAAAAAACAGCTGCAACTTTTCTCACTGTCCAGTACCTTTTCAGTGGAGTGAATTGCCTGTAGACTTCAGAAACATTGGGTCTGTCCTCAAACATTGGAAGGCTTTAAGTTCATAGGGAAAAAAGAAGCTAAAGCACAGTAGCAATTTGCCGTATTTGTAGTGTAAGGATCTATTTGGCTGGATAGGAAGGCTTGAATTTTTAAAGATCTTTCTTTGGCCCCGGAGTTCTGGCATTGTGGGAAGGAAAAGCATTTTATTCCTCAGTGGAGTGGAAAGAGATTTTAAGAGGGTTGCCACCTCAAATTTAGAAAGAGATTGGACTGCTTTGTCGCATTAAAAAAAAAAAAAAAGAAAGAAAGAGAAAATAAAAGATTTTTCTTCTTCTTCGCTTGTTTCTCTTTATTTTTGACATTCCTTTCAGAGATGTCTCATTCTCCTCCTTTATAAACTATCTTCTTCCTCAGCAAAACAGAAAAGTCTTTGCCTGACAGCGGCAAAAAAGGATACATGACATATGAAATTTCAGTACTAGGATATAGACAGACCAACATTCCAGCAAGTGAAAAAACGATGCAATAATAGCAGAAGGTGTGGAGAAATTACAAGCACAAGGCATGCCAAAAAGTCAATCAAACGTTCAAGACAAGATTACATCAGTCATAGATAACGAACCATATTAACAAGGGAAATTGGGTGATAAAATTCTTACCACTGGTCCATGAACAGGATCAGAAGCAATGAACTCCTCAACATCAGAGCTAGACCAAGGGGGAGGTTCTTGAACCTGGTATAGTTGTCGAGAAATGAGAATCTTTCTGACCAAAATTCTTGGAACCCTTCCCAGTGCCTCTTGAAAAAGGATAGCGAGGAAGAATCTTCCATCTCTGGCAGATCAATTAAATCAAATCATTAAACTACAGAATTATGAAATTTGTTGGATATCTTTATCAGATAAAAAACCTTAAAATCCAACATATGAGATGCTACGAAATACCTAAATGAGCAGATGCTTGAGAACTGTTGCTGTAACGAGGAGCTCCGATTTGGATTTCTCAGCCAGAGCTTCAACGATCCTAAGCCGCCGTCGCCAGCAAGGGGTTTTATCAATACGCTTAAAAAAATAATTATTATTAATATTAATAGTAATAATTAATTTCTAATTTCTACGCAAAATTACCACTGAGTCCCTCTGAAGCATTCAAATTATTAAAGAGTCCCAACAAAGTGCTGGTGTTTTGCGGGTTCCTGCCTGACAAACGGGTTGAGAAATCCCAACCCAACGCATTGGTGGGCCAGCCGGCAAAATACATCCATGTCCTTTATATTTTTTTACAGCAATAAATATTCTACATTCCATTCAGTCAGATTTCAGAACACATTACATAAAAACTTGTACCACTCCCACAATCCACAATGGCACAAGAAAACCCTTACCGCATCTCTCTTTTTCATTGGCAAGGAACTGAATCGTTCTGCTTAATCAATGGAATCAAGCAGAAGAATAGAAACGAAGCAAGTCAAAAAAGAGGCAAAAACCTTGGATTTGGGGGGGGGGGAATCGGAGAGAGGCGGTGGCTAGAGAGGCAGAATCGGAGAGAGTGACCGGAACAGGACAAGAATAGGTCGAGGGAAGCTGAGAGTTCGAGAGGTTGAAGTCAGGAACACAAACGACTAAACAGTCCTTCCCGTCGATGTTGCTCCGCCGCAGCAAATCCAAATGCTCCCACCGTTTAGGCGACGTCAGTGATCCTGTAGAGTTGCTCTTGTGTCTGGTCAGTGAGGCTTTTCTCTTCCTGTATAGAGTCTCTGATTAGGCAAGTGAAGAACGCGAGGATAAAGACTGAAGAAACACCTGGTCCAGGACGAGAAGAGGTTGAGCCGTCGAGGATCGTCGGAGGTTGAACTGTTGAAGGAAGGGAGGGAGCGAAGACGAAGACGACGGGAGACTTGAGAAGAGTGACCACGAATTTGGCTCCTTTTTTCCCCCCTCTATCTAACCTAAACAGGGACGCATCCACGTTGCAGGGACGCATCCACGTTGCGGGAAGAGGGCCAATTGCCATTTGCCCCTATAAAATTTATAAAAACTACACTTATTTTTTTATTTAAATTATACTTACTCCCTCTTTAAAATTACAATTGCTCCCGTAAAAAATCAATTGCATCCCGTTTTTTTTTTAAACTATCAAATTTACATATTTAAAAATATTATTTACACTTTTATTTATAATAAAAATAAATTATGATGTAAATGAAATTAAAATATACTCTCTTCATTGAAGAATGTAAGGTATTTTTTAAAAAATTAAATGTTTAAAAATATAAGGCAGTTTTAATCTTTCGAGCTGTAATCATTATTTTTTTTTTAAATGCTCCTATTGATAATAATTTTATCTTTATTATAGGATATTTAATAGAGGTAAATATAAAAAAATAAAGTTAGTTGAAAAGTAAATAACTATTTTATTGGGAGGTGAGATTCGGTTAAAAATATCTTATATCTTTTAACAGAAAGAGTATTTTTAAACTTTTCATTTAATTTATTTATATATTACTTTAATTATTACCTAAAATTATATTTTTAAAAAATATTTATATTTATATTTGGTATAAATATTACTTTCATTACTAAATTTTTCAAGATCCATCACTGAACCTAAACTGCCAAATTTAGCAAGTTAGTAGCTGACAGGTTGAAATAGTCCTGCCTTGGTATCCTCCCTCCAGTCCTCCTTATTATAAGACAATTGTTTCATGAATTTAATTTTTTATATTATAAAAAAAGATATATATTTTTATTTTTATCATTCACTTTAAATAATAATACAACTACCTTCACGTTAATTAAAAAAAATAAAAAAATAGTTTAATCATTATAAAATATCTTATATTTTAAATTAAAAATTATTTTTAAAAGACATCCTATATATAATACAGGAGGGAAAATGTTAATTTTTGATTAAGAATTGATATCAACTTATCTTGCTTTTTGAAATTTTTTTTATCTCTAGTTCTCCTGCCTCTATTATTTTTCTATCACTTTTATACATTATTTTTTCTCTTTCTTTTTCCATCGTATATCAATAGGAAAAAAATATTTAAATTCAAAATATTTATTCAATTATTTTTTTATTTTAAGGGTAAAAATATTTTTTAAAAATAAAAATCAGTCACACTCTAATGGATAAGATCATGGTGATTATATTTTTTTCGTTTTCAAGTTGAAAAGGAGTTAGAATGTATTAATTAATTCGAAAGGAAATGGAAAAAAAAGTTATTAATTTCGTTGAGTGAAAATATATTTGGTTTTATTAGGAAATCGAATGATTACATCACCTAGACTGGTGTATGCCATGATTTCTCAAAATTGAAAATTAAAATTGCTTCAACCTTATCTCTACCCACTTTTCCGTTGACTTGTGTCCTCTTTAGCTAATTATGTCCTTTAGAGTGTAGGTGCAATCTCAATAAAGTGACATTGTAATGTCTCCACAAGGATAACCATTTTGATTGCCCTGGAGATTGTAGACATGTCCTCTTTGGATCAGATAAATCTCACATTTGATGAGTGTTGGCACAAATTTGAGAAAAATCCAATCTTTATGATTCATAATCAAGACGAGACAAGGTTAGATCTAACAGATCACCTGTTCAAATTTGTTTTTATAAAAGTTTAAACTTAAAAAAATGATATTTTTTAAAGAAATTAAATTTTAAAGTCCAACTCTAATAAAATGAGTTAGGATAACTCTTTTTGTTATTTTTAATTTTACCTCCAAAAAATATTTTTAATTCTTAAATTAAAATTAAATTTTAAAATATATATATATATATATATTTATACTTTAAAATTAAAATTTATGTTATTTATTTTTAATCTTTTAACTAATGATTACAAAATCGAATCAGACTCGACAATCCAACTGTCGCACTGTTAGCCGATGAGTTTTCTGGTTTGGCTTTAGTCAAGGAGCCATTTTGCCCTCTCATACTGGCATTTGGATCGGAAAGAGCAGAGTGATTTTCGTAAAATTGGTCGGCCTAAAAAAACTCATTCCTTGCACGTCATTTCCATATCCAAACTTTCGGTGAACGAGTCTCAACTTCAGCCTCTCTCCTATCCTAACTTCAACAGTTTGACCGACATGGAAGAAGAAGAGGAAGAGGAGGAGGAAAGAGAAGAGGAAGATGAGGAAGAAGCAGACAAGTTTCTCAAGAAGAAAAAAGAAAGAAACAGAGGAAGGCAAATCTTAGAGAGGAGAATGTAACAAAAGTTTGTACCTGACTTTTCGGAGAGAGATTTCAACTTTTTCCAGATCATGACTAGGGTAAAAGGGAAATAAAATCAGAAAGTCAAATCTTCAAGACGTGCAGTGGAATGAAAATTATGGACATTTAAATATAGGCTCTAAGATGATCGGGCACTCCTTTTATTATTTTTTAATAACATATTTTGCATTATTTTTGTACTCTAATATTTTATATTTTTTTATGAATATGTTAACTTCACATATTTTGAGAAAAAATAATAATAAAAATTTCTCAAATTATATAAATAATAATTTAATCTTTCAAAATATCATAATTTTATTGAAGTTTTTAGGAATTTTTGTGTCAATAAATTTTAAATTAAAAAATTATTTTACCATTATTGATAAGTTGTGATTTCTCTTGTTCAATTCTTGTAATTATTTAAATAAAAGTTATCATTCTTTAAATAAAAATTGTAACTGGGGCTAGTTATTTCGAGAATTTATTTTTTAATAACAATAATTATATTTAACAAGTTGTAATTTTTTGTTCAACTCTTGTAATTTATAGAACAAAAATTATTATTTCTTAAGAAAAAACTGTGATTAGAGCTTGTTATTTTGAGATAAAAATTATACTTGATAAGTTATAAATTTTTGTTCAATTCTTGCTGTTTATAAAACAAAAATTATTATTCCTCAAATAAAAGTTATGATTGGGACTTGTTATTTTCAATAAGGGTAAAATAATTTTTTCACTTTAAAATTTATTGACATAGTAATCCCTAAAAATTTAAGTGAAATTATGATATTTCAAGGGATCAGATTGTTATTTATATAATTCAAGGAGATTTTATTGTCATTGTTCCCTATTTTTTATTTATAATAAATAAAATTCAACAAAATTATACTCCTTCCGTTAAAAAATGTAAAGTATTTTTTGAGGAGTTGGATATTAAAATATAAGGCATTTTTAATTTTTTAGGTGTAATCATTGCCTTTTTTTTTTAAAGTTTCCATAATAATAAATGACTTTATATTTATTATAGAGTATTTAATAGGGGTAAATATGAAAAGATAGGATTAGTTTGAAAGTAAGTAACTATTTTATTTTGAGGTGAAATTCGATAAAAAATACATTATATTTTGAACTGAGAGAGTAAATTTTATTACAATCAATTTGACCATGATTGGATCATAGTTCTACTATTAAATCATGAACCAACATCTTGATTGGCTCAATCAAGATGTTATAATAAAACACTATTATATCTTGATTTGGTTTTTAAAACACTATTTTGAACAGTATAATATGTATTTAAAAAAACATGAAATATTATAATAACAAATTTTAAATTTAAAAAATTCAAAAAATAAAATTAATATAAATAGACTTCATGGGTCTAGCTCTAGGCCATATAAATAAGAGTTGAACTTTAGAAATACAAATCAATAAATTATCAAAGGTATGATTCAAACTTAAAATTTAAAAATAAAAAAACACAAGGTTGTTTAGAATTTCTTGATTTGACATGCATAATACATATAAATAAAAGGAAAAATTGCATATAGATCCTATGGAAGGGATTTATACATAAAAAGTTTTATGAAATTTAAAAAATACAACCAAATCTTTGGAGACCCAATTGCAATTAAAGTTAGTGAAAAAAAAAAAAGAGGATTAAGCAAAAGGACTTTTATGCCCTTGATTGTTTCCTGCAAATTATCCCATCCTTCCTTAGATGCCTATTTCTTCATCTTCTTTTCCCTTGATTGGTTGGTGATTTATTCGTGCTTTTTCCAAAACACAAGTTGCAGAATTGTGTCACTTGCAGCCTTGAGATTACCAACATTGCTCTTGAAATATAAATCCACAATGTAATTCCCATAACAAATCAAAAGGGTTCTTCATTTTCCCACAATAAAAGTTCTCAACTTTGCCACACAACTTGAATCCTTGACGGTTTTGAAGCCTTGAAGTAGTGAGATTTCTAGCAAAATGGTACGATTTCTATTGGTATATCCAATTCATCACTTCCCAGATACTTCATTAGTTTGGACTTGTCAGGGATGATGATGAATTTCTTACAAGCTCCCTCTGTCATTTTCTCCCTCAAGAGCGACATGCTTCAGACTTTAACTAGATTCAAGCAAGCGTCAACTTCGTTGGCTTCATTAAGGGCGAGGTTGATGATGGGGTGAGAGTCAAGATTTGATAGCGAGAGTTGTTGACTCGGTTCTAAAGATGGGGCTTGTTACTTGATTCTAATGATTGGTAGACATTATCACATGGATGTTATCTACTCCTCTCGCTAGGCAAACTCTCGTAAAAAATGATCATATTATGGATTATGCTCACTCATTTTACATATTCAAATATAAAATTACAAGCTTATTGAATTTACACAATAAGCTATCACATGTGAGCATCACAATTATCTTTACTTATCACACACAACTCTTATTCTCATTTTCATATACTCATATCACATTTGTATGTTCTCCATTTTACTCATATATTGTGCTCAAAGATAATGCAACAATACAATCATCTTCTCAACTTACTGAGTTCTTATTTTAAAACATAAACGTGGTATTTCAAATATTTCAAATTCAAACATCACATTTATCACCAAATAGGTTAGTCATCTATTTGCACATATTTGCAATTATACAATTCATTCATTCATATCAAATAATTCATTTATGAAGGCATAAATCAATTAACAAACAATCATGTGAAAAATATTTCATGTGCTTACCTTAAAC